TGGGCACATCCCAGCGTGGTGCCTGCCCCCATCTCTGTCCCCATCCCAACCCCGTCCTCATTTCCACCCCCATCCCCCTTCCCCTGCCCATTCCCGTGCCCGTTTCCATCCCATCCAAACCCCAGCCCTATTTCCCCACTGGGGCCGTCCTGTTCCCTATCCCTATCCCCATTCCTGTGCCCATTTCCATCCCAGTTCCTGTCCCACCCCATCCCCATTTCCATCCCTGTCCCTCTTCCCACACCCATTTCCATCCCAATCCCATCCCATTTCCACCTCTATCCCCATCCCATGCCTATTTCCAATCCTGTCTCTCTTCCCCTGCCCATTCCTGTGCCCATGTCCATCCCAGTCCCCATCCAACCCATCCCCATTTCCATCCCTATTCCCCTTCCCACCCCATTTCCATCCCAACCTCATCCCCGTTTCTGTCCCTATCCCTATTCCCGTGCCTGTTTCCAACCCTATCCCCCTTCCCCTGCCCATTTCCATCCCTGTTTCCATCCCTTTCCCCTTCCTGTGCCCATTTCCACCTCTATCCCCATTCCCATGCCTATTTCCAACCCTGTGCCCATTTCCATCCTTATCCCATCCCATTCCCACCCCCATTATCCATCCCCATCCCTTTCCCCCCCCCACTCCCCATCCCGTCCCCCCACCCCCCCTCACCATCACTATGGGAGAAGCCCCCGGCCGTCAGCTTCCACTGCACGAGGACTCCGAGGAGGCTGAGCGCGGGCCAGGCTCCCAGCACGGCCCAGCTGTACCAGCACAGCGGCGCCGGCGGCGCCAACCGCAGCCGGTCGTAGACGTAGAGCAGCAGGGCCAGCGCCTCCAGCGCGTAGTCGGCGCACGCCACCACCGCGGCCGCCCCGCACACGGCCGTGGCCAGCACGGTCAGCGGCTTCTGCCAGTGCAGGGCCAGCAGGGCGCAGAGCAGCGCCAGCCCCAGCAGCCCCCCCGCCGGCACCCAGGGGCTCTGCGGCTGCAGCAGGGGCGCGGTGGCCACCAGCGCGGCCGTGGCCAGCAGCAGCCCCAGCAGCAGCCCGGTGGTGAAGAGCCCCACGCTGCGCACCAGCGCCGTGAGCAGCCCGCACAGCGCCCCGATGCCCAGCGCGATGCCCGCGCTCACCTCCAGGCTCAGCTGCGTCTCCAGCACCCGCTCCTTGTAGCACAGCACGAAGATGACGGCCGAGCCCAGCAGCAGCCCCGACAGGAACATGATGGCCTTGAAGCAGCGGTAGCCTGACGGGGGCCAGGGGGGGCTCACCGGGGGGCTCTGCAAATGGTGCCACCCCTCCAGCCGTGCCCCCCCCCGGACAAGTCCCACGGTGTCCCCAGTCACATCCCCGGTGACATCCCTGTCTGGCCGTACCCCCCCCAGTGACGTCCCACGGCGTCCCCCGTGATGTCCCATCTTGCTGTGCCCCCCAGCCGTGTCCCCCGTGGTGTCCTCATCTTGCTGTATCCCCCCCCAGCCACCTCCCACGGTGTCCCCAGTGACATCCCCATTTTGCCGTGCCCCCCCAACCATGTCCCCGTTCATGTCCCCGTCTTGCAGGGCCCCCCCAGCCATGTCCCACAGTGACCCCAGTGACATCCCCGTCTTGCTGCCCCCCCCCCCCGGCCACCTCCCACAGTGTCCCTGGTGCCGTCCCATTTTGCTGTGCCTCCCCCCAACCGTGTCCCTGGTGACGTCCCCGTCTTGCTTTGCCCCCCCCAACCATGTCCCCATTCATGTCCCCACCTTGCCGTGCCCCCCCACCACATCCCACGGTGCCCCCTGGGCCATCCCCTCTGGCTGTGCCCCCCGCCCCAAACTGCACCCCCTTGGCTGTGCCCCACAGCATCCCCTGCACCCCGTCCCCCCGTGGCACCCCTTGTCCCCCGATGTCCCCTTTCTGCCCGTGCCCCCCGTACCCCATCCACGGCGCTCCCCGCTGGACCCCCCCACCCGTGCCCCCCCCGCGCCCCCCCCGCGCCCCCCGCTCACCGAAGCCTCCGCAGACGAGGCCGAGGAGGCAGCCGAGGGCGCAGAGCGCGGCGGGGCCGGGCTCGAGGGGGGGCCGCGGCTCCAGGCGGCAGCGCGGCACCGAGGGGGCTCCGGGCTCCATCCCCGCCGGGCTGGGGGCGCACGGGGCGGCCACGCTGGGGGGCGCCGGGACCCCCCCCCCGCTGCCCCCTTCCCGGCCCCGGGGCGGCGGAAACGCGCGCGGGGGGAGCCCCCTCCCCCGACCCCCCCACCCCCGCCCCGCACATCTGGGAGCGGGGCCGCGGCGGGGGGCGGGGGGCGCGGGGGCCCCGTCCCGGGACTCACCCGCTCCGGGGGCGGCGGGACCCGGCCCGGCCGCGGGGCTCACACACGGCCGGGACCGGGACCGGGACCGGGAGCGGGGCTGGGAGCGGGGCCGGGGGCGGTGCGGGGCGGGACAGGGAGCGGGGCCGGGGCGGGGCTGGGGGCGGCGGGGGGCGGGAGCGGGGCGGGGGGAGCCGCGGCGGGGCCGGGATGGGAGCGGGGAGGGGAGCCCGGCAGGGGGGGGGGGGGGGGGCGGGGACACGCGCGGGACACGGACACGCGTGGGGAGGGGACACGCGTGGGGATGGGGCAGGGGCACGCGTGGGGGACACGGACACGCGCTGGGGGCAGAAGCTCACGAGGGACACGGACACGCGTGGGCATAGGGACACGTGGGGAGGGGACACGCGTGGGGAGGGGACACGCGGGGTTTTGGGGACACGCGTGGGGGGCCGGTGCCCGTCGTGGGGCTGGGACCTGCCGTGGGGCCGGGGCACACAGGGGGGCGCGGACACGTGAGGGCACGGACACGCGTGGGGCAGCCCGGCCCCAGCCCCGGTCCCGGTCCCAGCCCCGCCCGGGGGCAGCGCGGGACGGCGACTCCGCGCCCGGCACCGAAGGGGTTAAAGGGGGCGGGGCTTCGCTGAGGGGGCGGGGCCGGGGCAGGTGACGCAACCGGGTCTGGCCACGCCCCCGGAAGCGAGCGTGGCGGCGGCGGCGGGCGGGCGGAAGGCGGAAGTGAGGCGCGCGAGGGACCCGGGGGGGGGCGGGAGGAGGCGGAGACCCCCCCCCCGCCGGCACCGGCACCGCTCGGGGAGCGCGGCGGGGCCCCGGGGGCCGCCCCGGGCCTGCCTCCCGCGGCCGCTCCCAGCCCCCGGTTCCCCCGCCGGTCCCCCCGGTAGCGGCCCCCACCCTCCCGGTTCCCCCCCGGTTCCCTCCGTTACCCCCGGGCCCCGCTGACTCCGCTCCCGGCTGCAGGGGCGATGGCGGTGACCTAACTCCCGGGGCCGCCGCCATGGCTCAGCCCCCGCCGGGCCGCGGGGCAGCGGCCGAGGCCGAGGGGGGCGGCGGCGGGAACCGGGAACCGCCCGGGGCCGGGGCAGGAGGAGGAGGAGGAGGGGGGGAGGCGGCCGGGCCCCCCCGGGCAGCGCCGCCTGGAACGGGGGAGCTGCGGCCTGCGACCGGCGGCCGCCACCACGGAAGACGACGGCAACGATGACGGGGACGGAGACGGCTCCAGCACCGGGGGCTGCTGCCGGTGCCGGGCCCGGGACGGATCCTGCGGCCTCGCCTGCCCCCGCTGCGCCGCCACCGAGCAGCGGCCGCCACCGCCAGCACCCCGCGAGGCCGAGGAGGGCGAGGAGGACGCAACCGGAGAGGACCCGGGGGGCGCGGGGAAGGGATCCCGGAGACCCCGGCGACGCCAGCGGCCGCGCTCGGCCCCCAAGGAGAAGGAGAAGGAGGAGGGCGGCCGGCGGCAGCGCCCGGCGAGGAAACGGAGCCGCGGGGCCCGCACGGAGGAGCTGGCCCGGCTGAAGGCGCTGCTGGAGGCGGCGCTGGGCCAGGCGCGGAGGTTGTGCGCGGAGGCCGGCGGCCGCCTGCTCTGCTCCTGCTGCCGCCTGGGCGCCGCGGAGCTGGGCTCGGCACCGGGCACCGTGCGCAGCTGGGGCCGGCGCGTGGGGCAGCGGGCACGCAGCGGGTGGCTGCGGGCGGCCCGGGGGCTGCGGGCCGGGGCGGAGGTGGCGCGGCGGCTGCTGTGGATGCTCTGCGCGCTGCTGCTGCTGCTCCTCGTGCTGCTGCTGGGCTGCCTGCGGCTCTGCTGGCGCGCCGTGGCCGCCGGCGTGGCCAGGCTGGGCCGGACCCGGCTCGCGGCGTTCCTCGACGCCACCGGCCTCCGCAGGACGTGGGGGCTGCTCGGGGCGGCCGGGACTTGCCAGCGCCTCCGGGACTGGCTGCGGAGGTGGCGGGCTCCCCCCGGGGAGTTACGGACAGGCTGCGGGCCGGGGGACGCGGCGCCGGGCCTCGACGGAGGGGCTCCGGCCGCCAGCTCCGGGGAGGAGGTGGCCCGCCTGCTGGCCATGGCCGACGTGCCCGAGGAGGAGCTGAACCCCTTCCAGGCGCTGGGCGTGGAGGCGACGGCGTCGGACGCCGAGCTGAAGAAGGCGTACCGCCGGCTGGCCGTGCTGGTGCGTGAGCGGGGGGCCGGGGGCTGGCGGCGAGCTGCGGCCCCGCTGGGACACGGCGCTGAGCCCCCCCTGTGCCTCCCAGGTTCACCCGGACAAGAACGAGCACCCGCGAGCTGAGGAGGCCTTCAAGGTGCTGCGGGCGGCCTGGGACATCGTCAGCAACCCCGAGAGGAGGAAGGAGTACGAGATGTGAGTGGGCTGGGGCGGCGGGCGGGGGGCTGCGGGGGTGCCCTCACCCCCTGGAGCCCCACCGGGTCCTTCTGCGAGGGGAGCGGGGAGAGCACTGGGTCTGCAGCCCCGTCCCCCCGCGGGGGTCTCGTTCAGCCCCGCAGCGCCGGGCTCTGACCCCGTCTCTCTCCCTTGTGGCCGCAGGAAGCGGATGGCAGAGAGCGAGCTGAGCCGGTCCGTCAACGAGTTCCTGAGCCGGCTGCAGGACGACCTGAAGGAGGCCATGAACACCATGATGTGCAGCAAGTGCCAGGGCAAGCACAAGTAGGTCCCGAGGCTCCCGGCCCCGCTCGGGGTTGAGGCGTTCGAGCCGTGGGCTCCGTCCTGGCCCCGTGGTGCTGCCCCGGTGGGGGCTGACGCGGTGCCGGCCCCACAGGAGGTTCGAGCTGGACCGCGACCCGCTGAGCGCCCGCTACTGCGCCGAGTGCGGGCAGCTGCACCCCGCCGAGGAGGGCGACTTCTGGGCCGAGTCCAGCCTGCTGGGGCTGAAGATCACCTACCTGGCCGTGATGGACGGCAAGGTCTACGACATCACCGGTGGGTGCCGCCGCCCGCGTCCCCCGGCCCCCTGTGGGGGTGTCAGGGCGAGCCCCCGGTGACGCCGTGTGTCTCCCCGCAGAGTGGGCCGGCTGCCAGCGCGTGGGGATCTGCCCCGACACCCACCGCGTCCCCTACCACATCTCCTTCGGGGCGCGGAGCGCCGGCGCGGGCGGGCGGCAGAGGTCAGTGCTGGTGGTGGGACTGGGGACCAGTGGCAGCAGGGAGCAACGCCGGGGCCTGGCTGCTGCTGGGGGGGTGGAGTGGGGGGTTTGGGGGGGCTGGGGGCTGTTGGCCCCCCCCCAGGAGCCCCCCCAGACGCCGCCTTTCTGCCAGCAGGAGCACCTCCAAGGGCAGCCCCAGCTCCGCCGCCGACCTGCAGGACTTCTTCACCCGCGTGTTCCAGGGGACCTCAGGACCGATGCCCGGGGGCTTCCCGTCGCCCCCCCCGCCCGCAGCCCCCCCGGGGGCCGCGGCTGCAGCCGGGGCCCCGCCGAGGACCGAGGGGGGAGCCCCCAAGGGCGACGCCAAGCACAAGAGGCGGAAGAAGGTGCGGCGCCCCTTCCAGCGCTGAGCGCCCCGCGGGTGCTGGGGGGGCGCTCCCTGGGCGGGGGAGGCCGTGCTCTGTCGGGCACTACAAGGGCTCTTTGAAATAAAAAAAAATCTATTTTTTTTTTTAAAGTAATCCGTGTGTTTAGAAGTTAACTGTGAGCTGGTGGGGCTGGGGTGAGCGGGAGGAACTGCGCCGGAGGCAGCCACAGAACCCCCGGGGGGGCACAGCGGGGGCCGTGCTGGACCGACCCCCCCCCCAGGTCTCTTCAGGGGGTGTTGTAGGAGCCCAGGTGCCCGTGGCGGGGGGGCTGCTGCCCCTTCCCTCCACGCGCACCCCAAAACACCTGTGGGGCAGCAGAGGGGTGTGAGCGAGCCCCCTCCAGCCAGAGCAGCTCTGGGGCCAGGCAGCTTCTAGCACGTTCCGTGCTGCATTTGCAGCAGTTTCTTTTTGCTCGCTCCCCCCTATTTCTGACCCCGCACATCCCCTTTCTATTAATACAGCGAATGCAGCGCGCGGTCGCTGTGCTCACGGTGCGCAGCCGTCCTCAGCACCGCCGCCAGGCTCCCTGCACACCTTCAGCCGCGATGGTTTTACTTCTCCAGCCTCAGCTCTGCACGGTTTGAGGGACACTCGGCACATTTCCCTAATGCTGAGGCCCAGGAGCCGTTTTTATTTGGATTTCTTTTTACATGAAGTCACGTAAAAAAGCCCTGCCTGCGTCCTGCCACCCTCTGTACTCCCAGGTGTGAGCAGCTGGGGTTTAACGGCCGTGTTCTTCTTTCTTACCACTTTTCCCAGCTTGAAGCACGGTTTAGAAGCGTCCCCCTTCTCTGCGGGGCGGGGGGCTGGCTCCAGGCGCTCTCTGGGGTGGCTGCGGGTGTTCTCCTGGCTGGGGGCTGTGCTGTGAGGAGGCTGCTCTGCTCTGGGGGGCCTTTATGACGGTGAAATTGCACAAAACACGAGGATGAAGGAGGCACAGGGTGGTTGCTCTTCCCACTGGTTGACAGTTCTCCCCTGGTGGGTGTTTCCCCACTGCCACGGGGTCACAAGGGAGTGTGTGGGGGGGTGTGCGACCTGCCCGGCTCGCCCCGTCCAGCTCACGCATCTCCAGCAAAGCAGCAGGAGCTGAAGGCCCAGCGAGGAGCCCTCAGGAGACGCAGGAACCTTGCTAAAACCCTCGTGGGAAGCCCTGCACGCAGGAGCTGGTGCGCCCAGCCCCCGGGGGCGGTGGGCGCGGGGGGCTCAGTACTTGTTGATGCCGAAGAGCCGCACGCCGTGGAACTGGGGCAGCTTGGGCAGGAGGACGCTGAGCAGGGAGGCCGTGTTGATCACGAAGTGCGCGGGGTCGTACTTGGTGTAGAAGCTGGTGAGGAGGTACCTGGGGGGGGGGAGAGGGAGCCCGCGGGTTATTCTGCGCTGCCCTGCTTCCCCGGGGGCAGGGCGGGGATTTTGGGGGGGCCTCGCTGCTGTTTCCTGTATAAAACCCCAGCGCCTCAGCTGGGAAAACCTCCCAACCCCCGGGACCTGTCTGTGCAGGGGCTGAATGCACTGAGCTGTGCCAGCAGCAGCCCTGGAAGCCCCCCCCAGCCCCCCGCCCGGCTCCCCTCTGCCCGGTTTAGCGCGGCGCGGCACTCACAGCACCACCGGGGAGATGCTGAGGAACTTGCGCGAGGAGGTGCACTGCATCCCGTAGTCGATCTGCTCCCAGTGCGTGAGGAGGCGATCCCTGCCCTGGTCGGGGGTTTCAAACGGGGTCCCCTTCACTGTGTGCAGCAGCAAGTACATCACCTGCGGGGATTTGGGGGGGGGGACGTCAGCAAAGCCCAGCTCAGGCTGCTCCGAGGCTGGGGGAGCTCCTGGACACGAGGCAGAGCAAGGGGCAGAGAGCTCCTCGGGACCAACCCCCTGCCCGAGCAGTTCCCTCCGGCAGGCTGCCCAGGGAGGCCTCCAGACGGGCCCTGAAGATCTCCAGAGAAGGAGCCCCCCCAGCCTCCCTGGGCAGCCTGTCCCAGCGCTCCGGCACCCTCTCTGTGAAGAATTTCTTTCGCCTGTTGGTGCAGAACTGCCTGGGCTCCATTTTGTGGCCGTTGCCTCTTGTCCTGTCCCCACAGACCTCTGAAAAGAGGTTGGCCAAATCCCTCTGTCCCCCACCCCTCAGGTATTTACACACATTGAGGAGACCCCCCCTCAGTCTTCTCTTCCCAAGGCCGAACAGCCCCAGGTCTCAGCCTCTCCTCCCAGGGGAGATGCTCCAGGCCCCGTATCACCTTCGTGGCCTCCACTGGACCCTTTCCAGGAGATCCCGGTCTGTTTGGTACCGGGGAGCCCAGAGCTGGACCCAGCACCCCAGATTCCCCCTTTCCACGCTTTCCATTTTTTGGTGCCCGCAGTGGCCGTCACCTTCCGTAGCCCATGGCCACCGAACCGTGCCCGGTGCGGGTGCAGCCCCAGTCGGGCAGCGCGGGGCCGGGACTCACCAGGTTGTGCAGGACGTTGGTGAGCGTCCAGACCACGGGGACGCTGAGCACGGGGACGCTGAGCAGGACGACGTGCAGGGCGCCCACCGCCAGCCCGTAGGCCAGCCAGCTGCCGCGGCTGCTCGCCACGCGCGTGTTGGGGTTCAGCTCGCTGTGCGCCACGCCCACGTTCATCCTGCCGGGGGCACGGGGCTCTCAGCGGCCTTTTGGGGCCGTTTCCCCAAATCCCTGCACTTTGGGGCCCGCTGCCGGGCGGCTCCCGGTTCCTCTCCCGGGGCTCGGCAGCGGGCCCAAAGGGGAAGGCGGCGCTGCCCCGAGGTGGGCACCGGGCACCGGGGCTCGGGGGGGCCGGGGAACGATCGCAAACCCCCGCGGGGCGCGGTCCCGGTCCCCTCCCGGTTCCCCCGGGCTCAGCCTCGCCGGTTCCCAGTTCCCTCGGTTCCCCCGGCCCTGCTCCCTCCGGTGCCCCCGTTCCCGGCCCCCACAGCCCCGGTGCCCCCCGGTGCCCCCCGCTCCCCCCTCCCGGACCCCCCCGGTCCCCTCCCGGTTCTCCGGGCCCGGCCTCCCCGGTCCCCGGTGCCCCCGGCCCCACTCCCTCCGGTGCCCCCATTCCCGGCCCCCACAGCCCCGGTCCCTCCCCCTCCCCTCCCCCTCCCGGTCCCCTCCCGGCCCCCCGGTGCCCGCCCCCCCCGCACCCGGCGGCTCCGCAGGGCCCCGGGCCCCGTTGCCAGGCCCCGGCCCGGCCCCGTCTCCAGGAAGTCCGCGTTCCCGACCCTCCACCCCCATTGGCCGCTCCCCGCCGTTTCTCCACTCCCATTGGCCGCTCTGCCCGTCGCTCAGAACCTCCTCCCCGCCCCCTCGCGCGGGAGAACCAACAGCGAGCGCGAGGCCCCGCGGGGAAACCCTCCAATCGGCGGGAGCGGTGTTGGGCGGCAGTTTGAAATCGCCGGTCCAGGAAGCGCGGCCGTGATTGGACGGCGGGCTGCCGGCGGGGGGCGGGGCCGGCGGCGGCCTGAGGGGGCGGCAAGATGGCGGCGGAGCCCGTGGAGCTCCACAAGCTGAAGGTACCGGCGGGGCCCGCGCCGCCTCCCCCGGGCCGCTCCCGGGCCGTTGAGCCCCGCCAGCACTCGGGGGGCCCGGGGCCGATGGGTTCAGGCTCCAGCCGCCGCCTCTGGGTCGTGACCGGGCCCGGGGCAGCGCCTCCCGCCGCTGGGCCCTGTGGGAGGCCTCGGTTGGGAGCCCGGTGGGGCCTGGTGGGGCCCGGGGGTGCTCGGTGGGGCCCGGTGGGGCCCGGTTCCCGGCCTGGGCAGCGCTCGCAGGCACCCGGGGCTGTATGCGGAGCCGCCGCCGCCTCCCGGTGCCGGTGCCGCTCCCCGGTGCTCCCCCCCGGGCTGTTCGGGGTCCCGCCCCCTGCCCTGAGGCCGCCCGGGGCCGTTCCGCACCCCCAGGCCCCGGGGAGCAACGGGGGCAACCGGGGCGCCTGCAGCAAAGGCGGGGGTGGGGGTGGGGGCTCAGCGTGCGGGGCTGCTAAAATCCTGCCTCGGTTTTCCTCCATTTTCCCCCTTTTTTGTTATTATTCTCCCCTCGCTGTGTCCCCCGTTAATCACGCCCGTTAATTAATTGGAGCTTCCCCCATCGCAGCTGGCAGAGCTGAAGCAGGAGTGCCTGGCCCGTGGCCTGGAGGCGAAGGGCAACAAGCAGGATCTCATCAACCGGCTGCAGGCCTACCTGGAGGAGCACGGTACGCACGCAGCCCCCCCCCTTACCCCCCTGGTGGGCACGGGGGCTCCTTCCTAGAGCCCCCCCGGGCTGTGGCTGCTGCTCGGGGTTGGCATTAGGTGAGAGAGCTCCTGGGTTTGGGCTTTGTTTGTGCGGGAGGAGGCCTCGTTTGGGCGCGTTGCTGTGGCTTTGCCTCTCCCCTCCTCATTTCGTGGATCAAACACTTGCAGTGGCCTTATCGGAGAGGCCTGGGTATTAATCGAGTGATTTTCATCGTTAATTAGTCTGTTTCTTTCTTCCCCTTCAGCTGAAGAAGAAGCCAACGAGGAAGACGTCCTGGGAGAAGAAATAGAGGTAAATTTGGGGCTGGCCTGGCTGGCGCGCGGCCTCTGGGTGGCCGTGTTGGGTTTCGCTGTGCCGGGCCCAGCTGGGAGGGCGCTGGGACGAGGGGGCAGAACTGGAGGCTGCCTTGCAACGAGCGCTGCCTGGCACCGTTGGGAAGCGCTGCTGCGGCTCCCTGGGGGGTCAAAACTGCCCGGTTCTGATGCTGAAGGCTCAGCGTCGCTGTGTCGGCGTGCGGGGTGTGGGAAAAGCTGGGCTTTGGAGGCGTGTGTGGGCTCCGTGCGTGGCTGCTGCTTCGGAGGGGGGAATTCTGCCCGGGCTCAGCAGGAGCCGTGCTGTCACCCCGTGCTTTTGTCGATGGTGATTTTCAAGCACGCGGCCCTACAAGGCCGTGTGAGGCACCCGTGAGCTTCTCCCCAGTGTCCCAAAACACGTTCGGTGGGAGAAGGGCACTGAGCCTTCCTAGAGCAGCACGAGGCAACGGGAGCCGTGTGCTTTGGGTGTTTGCCGGCCCTGCTTGCCAGCCCGAGGGCCTCGTTCCAATTATTTCCTGAGCCTTGCAAAGCCCCGGGCCTTGTGCTAAGGGTTTGGCTTTGGGGTGTTAAAAAGAAATAAATCTGTGTCTGTACCAGCGTTGTTCAAACCCTGGCAGGGTTTGGATACAATATTTATCATTATATAATATTTATGGTGAGAAATGCTCCGTGCAGTGCCTTGTGGACTGTTAGACATGGCTGGGGAGGAGGAAGGGGGCTCGGAGCACACGGCCCTTCCCTTCCCTCAGCCGTGAGGCAGCCGCTCGTGCTCAGGAGCTGGGCGCTTGTCCCTGGGGATGTGGAGTGTCCCCGGCTGCTCTGACACTCGCAGGAGCCCTTGGGGGCTGAAATGGAGGCACGTCCCCGCTGAGCACAGAGTTCTGAGCCCCGACAGCCTCCCTGCGGGGCGCTGGGCTCCTCCTGACCTCCTCTCGACTCCTTCCCTGGCAGGAAGAAGAGCAGAAGCCGGCAGAGCCGCCCGTCAAAGTGGAGGAGCCTCCCGTAAAACCGCCCGACGTGTAACTATCCTCCCTGCGGGGGCCAAAACAAACCTGGGGGGGGTGGCTGTAAGGCGAGGGGTGCACGGGGGGGTGTGCTCCCCCTCCTCCAAACGCTTACGGGTTCTTCGTGAGCCTCCTGAGACCCCCTGAGGCTGGAGGGGTCGCAGCCCCCGCAGCAAGGGCAGCTCGGAGGAGAGGAAACAGCTCCTGGGGTCGCTTCTGAGGCTGTGGGTGGTGGTGTGAGCTTGGCACAACCCAGTCTCAGAGCTTGGGCTGAAAGCAGCTCGGAGCTCGCGTGGTTTTGGGCATCCCTGCTCGCAGGGAGCCTCAGCCCCGCGTGGTGCCGGGGCGCGGGGTGCACCCCAAGCGCTGGGTTTGGGTGCTGGGGCCGTGGTGCTGTGCGGGCAGGAGGGGGCGTCCTGCGCCCGCGGCGCTGCGCTGGGAGCGCGGCTGGCCCCGGCCGAATTGCTTCCTGTGAAAGTGTTATTAAACCATTACTACCTTTCAGGGCATAAAATGAGAAACCTGTCCGGGAATCTGGAACAAAAGCAGCGCGTTTCTCTAAATGGGAGGCCTTAATGAGGCTGGCTGTGCCCCACTGTTTTATGGGAGTTGTTTGGAGGAGGAGGAGGATGTTTCATTTAGCCTGGGAACTTCCGAACTTTGTCTCTTGCTCTTTTGTTTTCCTCCCCTCGAGCCCGAGCTCTGTTTTCGGAGCATAAACCTCGCAGCACGCCCCCTCCATTATATTTTCGTGCGGGCTTTTTCCTGGTCCCGCTGTTGTCAGCTGCGCATTGTTCAGGAGTGTGTGTTTGAAACGGAGCCCGGGCCGGGTGCGGGTGCTGACCTGGGGAGAGCTGCCCGAGGCTGTCCCATGAACTAGAACAGAACGAGCCTTTGTGTTGCAGGGCCGTAAAGGAATAAAGCTCCTCGGGGCAGGCAGTCGAGGCTTTGGGCTTCTAACAAGAGCCGAGTGTTGCTGTTAAGAGCCTTCAGGAGGTTGTTCCTGGCCGTGCGGGTCTGTGGCTTCTCGCTGTGCTGTCCCCCCGGGTTTCGAGAAGCTTCTGCAGCACCCGCTGCAGTCACAGGGTGCTTCTCTCACCGTAAACAGAATTAATTCTTCTCCAAGCCTTGCTGGGAGCGGGTGAGGGTGTTGAGGGTGGCTCTGGTGCCTTTTGCTCTTTTGGGGCTTGTTTCCCATTGTTGCTGAAGGGGCTCAGGAGTGCTCCGGGCGCTCGTTTGGCTAGGAGGAGGAGCAGTGGCTGCGCCTTCACCGCTCTGTGTTTCCTTGTGCGCCCTAAACACCGAGGTTTTATGGACCTCGTGCCTCAGTGTTGGTACCTGGGCTCTCAGCCTGCCCCTACAAGGGCTGCTGGTGGTTTGGGAACAGCCCCTCAGCAATTTGGGGGTGGTGGGGAGCCAGAGGTGGGTGGCTGGGAGGAGAACCCTGACCCCTCTCCTGCTGAGGCACGAGAGGAAGCCAGCGGGAGCCCTTCTGACCGATCTCTCTCTCTCTCCCCACACCTCTAGGAACACAGAAAAGAAAGTAGTGAAAATAACCTCAGAAATCTCGCAGATGGAGGTAAGGTTCCTTCTGCTGCTCCGTCCTCTTCGCTGTGAGGTGTCAGCTTCTTCGTTCGCTTCCTTCGGAGGCTCTTCCGTGCGTTGCTGGGGCTGTGTCAGCGTTTCCATTGTAACCCTGCTTTTTTTGGCTTGATTTTACATTAACGACCGGTCGCTGGCTGCGGGCTGACCTAGCGGGGTGGTGACCCCGTGGCACGTTCCGTTTTGATGGGGCTTTAAGGAATGCCTCTCTCAATTGCCTGGTCGTGCCCCTTTCCTTGCTGGGGGCTGCCGTTTGCCTGCCACCAGCCACCGCTGACCCTACCTCAATATTTCCAGCTCAGGGACAGGCCGAGTGGCTCCCAGGTGGACGTAGCCCCGTAGCATCCCCAGATTTGGATTGTAAAGCCTCGAGCTGCCCCTGTTATTACTCTAGCACATAAATTGTGCTTCCCTTCCCGCTATGGGGAGCATGAAAAGCTCTGCAGCGGGGCTCGCCCCCCTGTGCCACATCCCCATCCCTCAGGGCGATTGCTTCAGCCAGACAAAGCTGCAAAGCTTCGAGGGTGCGGCCGCAGGGCGCAATCAGTCTGGGAGGCACTGGGATGAGCTAACAGATCGGCCTTATCTCCCCCTGGAACTTTGTCACTTAGATTTGCTGGGCTTATTTCAGACAAACACGCTCAGAAGCTGCCGATTCCTCTGGGAGAACTTTGCGAAACTTCGGGTTTCAAGACTCTGATTCTGGTTCCCTAATCCTCCCCCCCCACCTTATTTTCCACTCACGCTCCATGAGAAAGAAATCGGTACGAAAACACGATTCTTGTCTCCCTGCTGTTCGCCACGAC